AAAATATATGTCGGACAAACTGACAATTGAAATATTACGTAACTATAGAAAAATTTTGATATCAGACCTATCTACATTTTTTATAGAAATAAATATGAAAATTTTTTAAAAAAATACTTTTTCATCAGTTGGGACATTTATTTTACAGCAGGATTATATACTCTTACATTTCTTTACGACATAGATACTTAGAATAAATTTTCCATTTTAGTATATTTCGTAAATTATCAAAACCAATCTCATTAAAATATTTTCAATATCTACACTTGCTTATCCTCAAAAATATAAGATATCCTAAAGAAAATAACTTTAATTTTTATATTATATTTTCGTAATCCGCCGTTTCTTTTACTATATCTACATTGAATGTTATCCTTTTACTCTCACAAGGAGAGTGTCGGAGTACGTACCGAATCAGCGATTTTCCGGAAATTTAAAGAAATGGTTTCTAGTAATATGAAATTTATTAATCTATAAAAAAAATTTCAAAATCATCTAACATGTCTTTCGTTCCAAGATACTGGCATTAAAGTAAAAAATTACTGAAATTAAAACTGACTTCTTATATTTCAATTTCAATTCTTATGTTCGTACTATTTACTACCATTGTAAAAAGTTCTACGAATAGTAGAAACCAAGGCTTTAATTTGATATTCTGTATGACCCAAAACAATAATATTCAATTCAGATAACATGAATTAAAAATTTTTTGACGGCATGTTATAAGTAATACCGATTATCTTGTTTTTTTCTGATTTATTTTGTCTTGTGATGGTCGCATTGAATATTATTATTATTATTATATTATTTTTGGCCGTCTAAGGTATGATGAAATGAAAGTTCTTGATTTCTGCTATCAACATAATTCTTTATAATTATTCTAAATAAAACTCAAGTCAAACTATCAGAAAGAAAATTGTTTTAGTTTTAGTGATTTTTTTGGTTAATACCCATATCTAGGAATAAAATGCACATAAGATAGATTTGATACTTTTTTCTTAGACTTTAGGTCACCAGAAACTACCTTTCGAAGTTTCAGAAAATACGGTGACCCATTACCTTGATACTCTCTCTCTGTCAATTCAAGAAAGTTAGTTAGTAAGTCCATATTTTGCCAAGTTTATCTTGGTATAATAATGATTTTCAATTGAGAAAGTTTATAAATGAAAATATTCCGTTTTCTATCATCTTTCTATTACTCGCAGGTGTTTGTGAGCGCACGAAACCTTGCAGTTGCTATACTCGATCACGATTTGCATATCAATTAAATAAAATATATAACACGGGTAGAATCCTCAAAATTGCTTATCAACGTATGCAATATTCTGTTTCAATTACGTTGCGAGCAAAGTTTTGTCGTGATTTGCCAATTCCCACTTTCAACATTAAATCATTGTAAATAATTTTTTATTATGAGTATGTACAAAAAATTGGATTACTAATGTTAAAAATTTGATGAGCCCACATTTTATATAAATTTTATACCAATAATATGTTATCATATGAAAACGATTTTTCTGCTTCGATCGCTAAACGGAAAACTTGGAATAATTTTAATGATTTGCCTATCTTTTCTATAGATGTATACATGATTGGTAAATAAATAAGTATAGAAAACTAGGAAGTTTATGTCTGTAAAACAATAATTAAAAAGGTTTAGGACGTAAAAGTTTTGTTTCCTAGATTGTAGCTTGAGTTTATATTCTCTAATTTTAACGTTAATGTTACAAACTCGCTTTAACTTTCAACATATAACGTAGACGAAAAGTCTCGTTTTATTTACTAACTTTTTTTTTTATTTTAGAGAATACTTTTAGCATATGCGCAGGTATCATGAACGCATTTAATGAGAGCGAGCACGTACATTACATATTTCATAACACTACATTTTAGAACTTTTGCGCTCATGGCAGTTCCATAATCCAAATGTCAATCATAGTACTTGAGGGTTCTTGTTATTATTCTTTCATTTGAAGAGTGGTTTTTATATAGCAATCAGACGTATGTGCGCTTAGACATAATAAGCAATTACAACTTGGAATAGCTGCAGAATTTTCCGTACTCTCATATGTAAATCAAATTTTTCAAGTGCTATTTAAAAAATTTTTTGCTATTCATTTTTTGATAATGTATATAACTACATGTGGATCAAGTTAAGTGCTCTACCAGTTCCTAGTAATTACAAACAACTTATAAGCCATTTAATAAATTATTTTATAAATGATTTTAAAATGTATTCAGGGTTAAATGCGTGAAGCCTTTTATACTTCCATAAAAAGGAATAAGTGATCGAATTATAAATAATATGCGACATCCGATTGAGTGTATATTTCAAGAGATATTTCATTTTGTAAATAATTTGTCTCGTTAAAGTTTAAATTTGAATTTTATCAAATGAGAATACGCGAACCATTTTCCAACATTTTAGATTAGCATCAGTTGATAATAATTTGAAATGATACTTTACTATGAATATATATTTTATATAATTGGAAAATTTGCAGTATTTTATACAATAATCTCCTTAGATTATATAGATTAATATGTATTAATCTTATCAGTAATTATACCATGAAACATCACCTGTTAATAAAAAGTACTTCGTAAAAAAGTATTGAGTAAAGCAATGTAAATACCCTGCACGAAGGAAAGATTGTTCACTGTTCATACTTAACAAATTCTTTCAGCCGCGTGCAGAACGCACCAAAAAAATTAATCTAAGTTTCATCAAGTTTTTAAATTCCTTAGGACTTACGGCCCCTAATACATTCCATTATCCGACAGTTAAGAATGTGAACTGCACTACGTTATCATAAAATTTTTCGAGTTCAACATCGAATTTAAGCTCTAATAGAATGTATGGGTTTTCAGTATGCCGTTAGGCGAAGTACAATAGTGTTCTAATAAAAAGTCTTGTAATTTAAATACAACTGAAATGCCGCGTGAAATTGTAAGGTTTCTGCCTCGAAAGTGACTATGTATTATAATTTGACGACGAATCAATGTACACAAATTAGAGCTATTGCGACATTACGTCTTTGGGTGAAATGATTACTTTAGAAAAATAATTTATCATCGGATTCATGCGCCAGTTTCATTAAAATCTCATGACTTTTTGTTGGAACGCACTGAAAAAAAAACAAACAACCTTCTTCACGAACGCCTCGTTCATGCATATATCTGTGAATTATTTGTACTTGTGCGTACTCATATACGTGTATGATGTCACGAGCATAATTTGCTCGAATCGTTAAGAACAGTCTCTACAGTAGGTTTTCATTAAGACTAGGACACTCGTTACTTGTATATCTTCTATATCAAATTTACACAATTAGCTGCGGCCGAGGACGTGAATGATTCGTTTTATTTTTCAACAATTTGGTAAAACGGGACGACTTAACACATCCTTATCAAGCTTTTGGATATGAAACGTTCGCTTCGCTTTTCCTATTGAAGGAGCGCATCATACAATTGATTGTTTTTTGTCAGCTAGTATTTGAAAAATCGTCCAATCGCGATGGCAAAATATTGGAAAACATTCGCGATCGCTTCTGATTTTGCATCTAGAATATTGTACGAGCGAGATGTAGTCAGTTCTTTGATTTAACAAGGGTCACGAAATTCATCGTGTTATTCGCCGAGGGCCTCGAAAACTAACAAAAGCACCAAACTGCTTCGATGTTCATACTACTCTGACTATACTGAATCGTCATGTTCGAACGGAAATCATCTCATATACGTCGCTCTCGAAATGAATCGAGATGACTTGTCTTCGCCTAGATAGATCAACAACAACATTGACATATATATCCGTACATTATGTGACACTGTCTAATTACGTTTTTGGCACAGACTATAGTTCGGCATAACTACATCAACGGTCTTGGTATTTCATTTAAAATAATATGAGCTTAGAATAAATAACTTACATAATAGCAATGTAACAAAGGGTTTTTAGAAAATTATCTTGATTAAAATACCCATGTAGTCGCAAAATATTTTTCACAAATCTATTGATATAATGTATTACTTCTCTTCTATCAATTTACGTAGTTTGCAATACAAAACATTGAATCTACACAAAGGGATTCGTACTTGAACGAGCACTCATTTTCCCACGTAGCATTAGGGAAAAAATCGAAGAAAAATTATCAATAGGGCCACCAATAAACTTATAGTCCACGTAAGTCGTACACATATTCCACATTATAAACTATGCACTATGACGTTTGAATGAACATTAATCACGCGAAATTTGGCCTGACAACGTGTAATACATTATACCAACAATTGAAAACCTTACGATAAATGACCTAATTACTTGTTGTAAAAAAATGACGAGCAGCGGAAAGGTAAATGTGTACTCACTATCTCGAGAGAAAATTTCAATTTTAACTTCTACGCCAACTCAAAGCTGAACAGTGTTTTCACCAAAATACTTACCAAGTTCCATCGTCATTCAGTTTAATTATCTTTGGCGGCGAAAATTGATGCAAAAACGTAATGGTATTGATCTCACTTGGTAATCAACGCGATGAAATGACAGCGCTTTACTTCAAACTGGGCTTGTCTAAATTACATCAAGCGAAGGAGATAAAAAGAATATTAGCTTAATGGACTGTATCGCACATTCCAATGAGTCAAAGCCATCTTGCGATCTTGGAAAATTGTGGGTGAACAAATTGTGGCAAGTAAGCGGAGACCCATTTACTTTTTTAGCATGCCGCCAAGAACACAGTTTTTTCTTAGGTGAGTACCTGCATTAGTTTCCAAGTATCATCATTTTTTTGGCTTTTCATTGTTTTGGTTTTTTTTTTTTTCCTTTTTTAGAGTTGACGAGGCATTGGGCCACGCCAATCCATGCACAATTCGCATGGACTCCCGCACGCTTGGTGTTTCCTGGCGCGCTACCGCATACAAAAAATAGCATCTGGTCACTCAGAATATATCCCCGTGCTTATCGTATTGCTAATATCTAGATACGCAAGAAGCAGCATAAAAAATAAAAAGCACCTCTTGAATGCCTCTAAGTATGCAAAATAATGATCGAGAATATGCGTGATTACTCTGTTGAAATGAGCGAACGCGTAAATTTGGCGTGACGGCACATTACATACGGAGAATAATCGCTGTTATTAAGTGAACGCAATAAGCCACGTACGAAGTATAGAAAAGAATGGCGCAAGTCGTATCATATCTGGACCAGCCAGATTAACAAAGGACGCGTGCGCTAATGTTTTGCTCTTTCGAGTGGCGGCCGAGTCGAGTTCCCAGCTCTTACATGAGGCTGCAGAAGGCGACTCCGTTTTCAAAAGCTGACTGGATCGCCGTCGTCTCCATGCACCACGCCCCGTCCTCGTACATCGTCGCGATGCGCTGCTGCTGCTGCTGTGCTCGGCTCTCGCTCTGCGATCTGCCGATCGAAGCCCAACAAACAAGCAAAGCCATTCGTTAACCTCAGCTCCACTTGGTCGATCGCCACGCGACACACGCATCGTCAGTTCAAACGGATTAACTCGAACTACCGTGAAATTGATAAGCGAGCCGGCGAACGCGTTTAGGTGTTTGCGCATAATGACGGTTTTTACTCGGGATTATCACAGGCCAATATCGCGCGGATAGCCGCGATAATCGAACGATGCGAGACCTATTGCAACAGTTGCGAACATTGATTCGCTTCGCGGGCAGACGCTGATACGAGGGGTGGATAACGGCAGGCGAGGTCAGCTGTCGAAGGTAGAAGCGAGACGAAGCCAGCGGTTGGCTTTTTGTCTTATTGCCGCTCGTTAGAAGCCGAGTCACCGTCCCAGGCGGTGTACAGTTGCCGACGAGCCGAACGACCACCACGCGCCTCTTTACGCGTAGCCGCGTTGCCTGCTTCGAACGAGAAGAAAACAGGGCAAAACGTCGCCTCGTTCGCCTAAAAACCAGTGGATCGCCGAGCTCTGGAGCTCTGGCCACGAGTTCCCCGAGTAAACAGTGCCCTCTCTCCGCGTCGGCGGTCGCGAGCGCGGCATGCTTCCCACTGAATTCATCGTCGTGCTTCGATCGATCACTCGCTTCGTCGAGGCGATCGAGCCTTCCTTCACGTAAACGCGCCGCCTGATGAATTCCTAATTTCCAGCGAGATCGAACGGCAGCTGGGATTAACGGGGAAACGATCACGGGGGCCATAATTAATTCGAAGCTGTCGCGCGATATCGCGGAAGGACATACCGGAGATTCGATTTGGCAATCAGCGCGCGAGCGATCAACGGAAATTCGATTGGGAATTATTGAATTTCGCGCGGGGTAAGCCGAGAATGGAAAATATGGTCAGCCGCGAAGTCCGGTCGGTCGAGAAATCTCTGAAAAGTCCCGCCGAAGGAGCGCTAAAGCTAAAAGAGGGCTGCTGGTAATGGTGACCTTGGCGGCATGGCCCTTGACCTCTGGGCGACCGGCCTGACAGCCTGTTTGCGGAGCGCCTGCTGCTGGAGGAGCAGCTGGTGGTACTGGTGGGCAGCTTGCTCGGCGCCGTCCTGCAGCGCCAACTGCGTCAGGTACTCCCTCAATTCGGGCTGGCTGGCCAGCAGCTCGCGGCTGATCTGCTCGAGGCTGGCGTTGGCGTTGGCGCTGGCGGCGCTCAGCGAGGTCGAGTTGGACGTGTCCGTCCAGGGTGGCGGCGGCGTGTGCGAGCGCGTCACCAGCGCGTGCTTGTGGAACAGGTACTCCTCGTACGACGGCGGCAAGCCAGTCTGCAAAGTCGCTCTATCATTCGCTGTGTCGTTACACTCTCGCACGGACATTCGATCGGCTAGCTTTCTCGACGACTTTAACGAATTCGAGGCCAATCTCGGCGAAGCTACGAGGCTCCGCTGGATAAAGCCGTACTCGGCTTGGCCGCTTTTTCAAGGTTCTTTCACTGTACCCTTTCAGCCGAGATGCGCTTTATTTCGCGTATTGAAGAGATTCAGCGTCTCGCAAACATAAACAATCTTTCAAAGCGATTCGCTGCAGCGTAATGCAAAGAGCTTTTCTCCAAAAATTTTTCAAATAAATTCTTCACGAGTTATTTTTAATGTTTTCATAAATTAACTTTTTATTTGTTATACGCAGATACGATTTTTCCTGCATTTACTTGTTCCAACTTTTTATTTGTTTGCGAAACTCTTGCCATCCGTACTTTTATTTATTTTAGCACTCGCTAAAAAAAATAAAAACACGCTGGACGCACACTTTATCTCAATAAATGCGTATTTCGTGGTAAGCGTCTCATTTCCGGATGATGCAAATATTTTCTGATGAAATGATGATTGTTGGTAAGCTCAGAGGCAATGACATAGCTTACGAGAAGCGCCGATGTGAATCGCTTATCAGCAGAAAAGGCATTGAGAAGGAAAGTGATAAAGCTATTAGCGTGTCCGAGACACGTTCCGCGTAATATGAAATTAGCCGACGCTGCAAAGCGCCAGACTATTTATCAATATTGAGTCGCGACTCTGGATGATGTAAAATGCGAGTCCGAACGTACCCGCTGAAAAAGTACGCTTGGTTTTTTGCACGGTCACCGATTAGAAATTCTCAAATACAACGCAGTGTTTGATCAGTGACTTTCGACATTGCAAAGTGTTCTGCGAGGATAAACTCGCTCGTAGTTGGCAGATCTTTTATATCTTTTATAGGGTGGCAAGTTTATGTCAGCCATTGCCGACAGCGAGAAGTGCATCGAGCAGCTCACTTGAGTCTTGGCGTGGAGAGCAACAAGGGCGTCTTTTTTACGAGCGAGGCGCCGAAAAACATAAATTCTCAAAGTCGGCCGAGCGGCGGAAGACTGCCAGAGCGTCCGTTGAGAAGCGCATGAAATCGCGGACGAAACTTTCAAGGAGAATTCAATTTGAACAACTGTCCGCGTCTGAAAATGATATCAAAGTGAACGCCAGAAAAATGAACGAGAGGTCTGCAAGCGCGATTGTTTTATTTGTTCAAGCGATCCCGGAGATAGAAAGTAATACGCGGTTGAAAAGGGTTTCCGGCTAGATATAATGTATTTACGAAGGTCTATTGAATTTTGTTTTCTAGCGGGCTTGGCTGCTGCTGTTGCGCTGCTGGCACTGTTCGGATAATGGAGTCTGCCGGGACAATTTTTGCGCGCGCAAACACGCTTCGATTTCGCCTGCTGCCAAACAACCAGTACTTTCTCGCTCGTTTCTTTCTCCTTCTTCTTCTTCTTCTTCTTCTTCTTCTTCTTCTTCTTCTTCTTCTTCTTCTTCCTCTACTTCTTCCGCTTCTTCTTCTTTCGCTTTTTTTCACGGTTTTCTAAAAACTTTTTCGGTGAAACTTTCTATTAGCCCGATTGCCTTTGTTGTCGACGGCGACACGGAAAATGCTCGCCGCTAGTCGACTGTCTCCGTCTCGGTGCAATTGAAAAAGAATCTCGAAATTTCAGTCCGAGATGCTTTTATTAAAACGACACCGATGCTCGCGTGCGCGTAGACCGTTTAATCTAGACAGTCTCGAGTATACAGTTTCTGCTAATTGACTTTCATTGTCGCTGGAAGCGAGTAATAAAAAGGAAAAGACATCCCCGATGCACTTATTCTTTCAAAAAGTTGCCTTTCCGTTGAAACTTGGATTGAGTCGGCAAAAATTAATTTGCGAATTAGCTCAAAGTCGAAATATCTCTAGATCTTACTGAGCTGTATATGTAGGACAAACACGCGTGGGAACATCTCTAGTGGTTTCGTACACTCAGACGAAGGATCAACATTCGTTCGATCAACTTAATTTAATTCGTTCAAGCTAAGTCAAACTAGTTTTTCTTTAGGATTGGCCAGTGACTAACACCAAAGAAAGAAAATTGAGAAATTCCAACTAACGTCCGTTTTTTTTTACATTCATTCAAGCTGATTGTCATTAAATGTTAAATTAAATTTTTAAGGAAATTGGATTTTGTTAAAAAAAATGTCGAAGACCGAGTCCAATGTCTCGCTAGAGATAGCACCATTCCCCACATGAGAATGCCAAAAGACTTGGCATAAAATTAATATTTTCAAAGACAGCGCATCACTTGGCGTCTGATATTTACTCGGGAATCGAGATTGATATTTGATTGGTTTGAAAGAAGAAAGAAAGGAAGATATCGCGAGAGCGAGATAAAATACATCTCACGTTCTATCGATTCCCCTTGAGATAACAGCCTGAGCGAAACGAATTTTTCTGGGAGCAATCTCATAAGTGATAGAAAGCGAGAGAGAGAGAGAGAGAGAGAGAGAGAGAGAGAGAGAGAGAGACTCTTTGATTTCGCGTTCATCTCTAAGTAGATTTCCTTATCCTCGCAATTATGTATTTACCGACTTATCGACTTATCCACAATCGATATCACTCGCTGAAATTAAAAGCAAAATAATCTCGCTGATAGCTCCGGTTGTCATCGACTGCACCATTTTCTGTCGCGGCCGCTTAAGAGCTACTCAAAGATAAAACTTGTTCGAGCGGAAAACTCGCAGCCGTGTGCCGTCGAAGCTAGAATTCAATGATTATCGCCGGTCGAAAAGGAGTATTATCGATCAAGTGGCGAGAAAGAAGTAAAAGAGCGCGTGAAAAGGAAATTTCCGGGTACTCGTGCGCGCTCGCCTCGGTTATTCAAATGAGGCCTGTGCTGCGCTCAACTGGCGCTTATAGGCACAGCCAAGGATGTACCGAGCTCTTAATACACATGCACGCAGTGGTCGCGCTCGCAGCCCGGTAATCCACGGAGCCAGGAAATGAAACAGAAATTTCATCTCCCCCTCACGGAGTAGAGGTTGGGCGGTTGGCTCACGCGCCGGTTGGCTGAGATGGTTAATTCAGACCCTTTTGATCGGCTTTCCTACTCGCCGTCGCCCACCAAAGAAATAATCAGCTCCCGCGTAGCCACGGGCGAGCGCGCGCTTCGCCGCATCTCGCGACTGCTAAATGGAATATCCCTCGCACGGTTAGGCGCAGCGTTATTTTAAGAAATCGCCTTAACCGACCTCGGCCATTTGAAATTCCGATGCCATTTCGCGACTTTCATGAATAGCAATAGCTCATTCCTCCTCGTTTCTTGCCTCGAATCAGCCGCAAAACGCGAACCCAACCCAACCCACGGAACCAGTGACGGATCGGCTCTTGCGCGCGTTCGACGCGGCCGGGAAGGAGGCAAGGATGGAGTTAATTATCAGCGTCCATTTAACAAAAGGCCGCGCTGCCGTCGTCGTCGAGCTGCGGTTGCTCGGTTAATTAACGTCCCAGCCGACAGATGCCTTTCATGTGTCGGCGTCACGGCGTTTTTTCCATTTCACGATATTCCTACTCTCTCTCACTCTCACTCTCATCCACTTTGCGCCGCAAAAGCTCGCGATTCGAATGGAGATACGCGGGATTAGCTTTTTTTTCATTCGGTTGACCTTTCCTTGTTTATCAAATCTAAAAATAAGAGTTCCAGCCTACGAGTAATCGGCTCAAGAGATTTGCAAAGTATTAATTCTATCGATTTGTCGTCGCTCTCTCTCTCTCTCTCTCTCTCTCTCTCTCTCTCTCTCTCTCTCTCTTGTTTCAAACTAATTCTTCGCTTAACGAGATACAGTTGCGAGCAGAGACTGGCCAAAAAGTGGCTTTCACTCGGCGAAAAGAACAGAAAGCGAACTGGTATCCACGCTATAACAACGAAAGGCAATACTATCGACTATCGAAACCTTATCGCCGTCGCCGAATGGAATCGCAAACGCGGGGCTGCACTTGGCTCGGCGAGCAGCAGCCGTTGCGCGCGCGCGGCCATCGCCAAGTTTTACCAGTCGCTGCGCTGAGCTTATTAAGCGCGCGAGGCAAACTTAGGCGTAATGTGCCTTTTGATCATAAGCGCTATCGCGCGCTTAAAATTGTTCGCAAATTAATCTGGCGCGCGCGACGCCAGCGACCCCCGGTGCTATTACTCGGAGCCGCGGATAAATCCTTCGCTGGCGCGAGCGATTATCGGCAACAAAAGGGGGACGGCATCGTAAATTATTCCTGCGTTCGCAAGCTAAAGACGACGACGACGACGACGACGACGACGACACTTTGATACGCGCGTGTGCTGTCGAGTAAAAATGCGTTGTCGCGGACGTGCGCCAGCACGTCGTTATTAAAACGTCAACACTCTTCTCGAGGTTGCCAAGCAGCTGAGCGAATCGCAGCTTCTCCGTCTGGGTTGTTGGGAATTCAAATTTTTCGGGCCATATCTCTCGACGGCGCGCGAGAGCTTTCCCGGGCGGGACTGGTGAGAGAGAGAGAGAGAGAGAGAGAGAGAGAGCGAGGCATGTAACCAACAGAATTGGGCTGAGAGCCTCGGGATGGCTCTCGAGGATTTATGCCCTACTATTCGAATTCGGCGTGCTATGCCTACACGGTTAGCCGCATGTTCGCAGTTCGCCTTTTGCCGGGCGACGGATAGACGGATACACCCCGACGCCGCGCGCTGTTCTCGCTGCAAAAACCGCCCTCGCGCGAGATCCAGTCTTCGGGGTTGGCTTTCCACGTCTCCTTCGGAAAACGGCAGCCCGACGAGTCTGCGCCGGAGGAGTGGAGCCCGACTCGAGCTTGCGAGCCAATTTATCACTCGGTGGGATTATACGAGACGAATGGGCTTGCAGGCGTTCGCAGACGAGGCTTCCTCGTGCTTACCTGCCAAGACTTAGCGATGGCGACGTCGTAGGTGGGTGGCGGTGAGGTCATCGAGGGCACGGCGTACGGGGGCCTTGCCGCCGCGTTGTTGGCCGGTGGCTGCTGCGGCTGCTGCTGCTGCTGCTGCTGCTGCTGCTGCTGCTGCTGCTGCTGCTGCTGCTGCTGCTGCTGCTGCTGCTGCTGCTGAGAGCCGGGATTGACCGGCCGAGGCGCGCTCGCGGGCTCGTCGTCCTCGCCGTCGATCGTGCAGTAGAGAGCCTCGGCGACGGCGTCGCGGTGTATGCTGAGCGTGCTCGAGCCCGAGTCTGCGGAATGGACAAGAGGCGTGAGGCTCTCCCCTCGTTTAATTGGTTGGCCGACTACAGCTGTGGCAGAGAGTCTCCAGACGTCTCTTGGCGCGACCGAGGGGGCGAGGGAACGAGCTACACTGACCAATATACGTGTAGTGCGACTCGACGCGCTCGGCGCTGCGAGACCTCCGGGCTGGGTGCAGTCGCTTGTCCTTCTTGCTGGGCTTGGCTCGTCGGCCGGACTGCTCGGCGACGGAGCTGCTGCTCCCCGTCCCCGAGGCCCGAGCGTTCGGTCCGCGCGCCGCCGTGCTCTCGCTCGGCTTCTTCGCCGCCGGCCTGCCCTCCGCGGCCTTGCCGGCGCCGGACGCCGCGCCGGCCGCGCCGCTGCTCTTGTTGGACGAGGCCGAGACCGACGAGGACGACGACGACAGCGACTTGGGGATCAGGATGGTGTAGTTGCGCGTCGATATGGCCGTCATGCCGTTGCGCGACTTGGGCAGGTCCAGCTTGACGCCGCAGCCGCACACTGTCGCGTTGTCGTTAGGCATTCTGCAATCAGATTCGCCGAGAGGCCGCCGTTATTGCAGGTGCCGTTATTATCCGCTAGCCAACGCGTCGATCTTTTCGAACGCCACGCAGCCGTCGCGTTTGCTCTGCATTTACATTCGATGCGTGCCTCCTGCTGCGATCCCATTGTTTGCTTTAATCATATACGATGCATCCGTTCAATTCAAAATACCCTCTGTTACGTAATATTCCCTCCGTTACATACGAGCACGTCAATCGTAAACATTGGACGTCAGTGTCAATGTTGATGTGACTAATGACTGTGGCAATTTGTGAATTCGACATCCAAGGCTCCCCGTTCTCTCCATTCGTCGATCGTCTCTCAAAGCGCTAGCTGCGACGGTGCCTCGGTCGAATGCAAAGAAAGAAGGAAAGCTCAAAGTGGTCCTAATATCCGCGACGAATCGATCGATCAAAGTAGAACGGGGGAAGAGAGGGAACAATTGACCGAAAGTTCATTCGCAATGCCGTCTGCTCGAGCTGAAACTCGCAGCGCGCGAGGGCCAGCTAAAACAAAACTTGTTTGTCCCTCGCGGGGATGTACACGGAGCTCGATCGTCGAGCGCTATAATACGCTCGCTTCGATAGAAACTTGGATTCCTCGGGGTGCCCTTCGGCCATTTGTATTCGTAGCGTGGTTACTTGTCGGCCAAAATTCCATCGGTCGACTCGCGCTCGCATCAGCGGCCCGGTCAATCTCTTCGCGTTCGCTCGCATATCGGCTTGCGGGGCTGATTCCCAGGCCCGCGCACACCGTAATTGCCAAGCGTGCGCACGGATCCTCTGCAAGATGACGGCGTCTTGAGCGAACAGCGACACTTGCCGCTTTCAATTAGCCTCCTTGGCGCATGCTCGACTATTAATCGTGGATAACGAACTGCCTCGTCGCACGGCCAGTCCGTTATAACTTGCTTCACTCAATGGACCGCATTGATTCGCCTACTTCGCGGAGAATTTTCCGATGAGCGAGGTGAGACTCGGCCTATTTAACTTTATTACCGAACCGCCGACGTATTCTCAGAATCCACGGTATACATTCGTCGAAGCGAAGCTTAGTAAAGCAATCAACGAACGATTCGATGAATTTATCGGAAATTTATATTTCAATTTGCTCAGCCCAATGATTCTTTTAGTTTTCCGATTTGTTTCCTTTTAATTCCTCGATGCGAGCGAATTTCTCGCAACGATCGACTAGCAGAAAGAATTTTCATTATACAATTAAAGCCCTTTCGGCCTTAATTTATTAATACTGCTTTTGATTTATTGGAACTTGATGCCGACGTGACAAGCAGAAGCGCTAATCTTTGGATTTCCCCTTGGTCGATCGAGCACTGCACATTATCCAGCAACTGCGTTTCGGATCATGGAAAATCAGAAAAACTCTCGGAGATAGGCAAATGGTGCATTCGAAGATTCTGAAAAAGTGCGGGCCTTGCGTCGCGCGCAAAGCCAGGAAGGAGGCGCCCCGTGAAAAAAAGCAGAGAATGGGACATTCAACTCGTCGAAACGAATCGAGCGTAATTCGAATGATCCAGCGCGAGCGCTAAAAGAGCAGTAATTAAAGGGAACGACCACGTGCTCGCGGGAGGAGGCGCTCAGAGAAGCCTTTGCCGAAAATTCGCAGGACTAGCCGCTTGATTATTCGCGTGCATTTGCGCAAATGGACTTTCTGTCTTTCTACGTGTCCGCGTGTTTTGCTTACGGCCTTGACTGCGAGTGAATTTCAATCAGCCCGCGAGAGAAAAGCTCGCTTGGCGCGCGGAACAATAACAGTAAAGAGGAAAAAGGCGAGCGAGCTAGCGGCAAAAATCGCGCCGTTAAAAAGCGGCGACGGCCGAAGCTCCATTTAATTTGCCGTTTTACCGCATCGACGGCGAGCGTAAATGCAGTTCGATGGTGGGACTTTTATCGCCTGGTCCATTTTCCCCGCAGCACAGTCGTATCGTCGCTATTTACCCTAGGAGAGCGTGCCACTGAAATTTTGGCGGCTTATTTGCCGAATAGCGCTCGACCTTCCCCGACGCTCATTTACTCGTTGAAACCTCGTTAATCTGCATTGATTATCGAGAACTCTCTCTCTCTCGGCATTCGCGCTTTCAGGCCGTTCGTTTTTTCGTTTCCAGCATTGGCCTTCAGCTTTATTTTCATTTCACTCTATCAAGACTCGCCGTGAAAAAAAAGCTGCGGGATGGAGCGGATCTAACGATGTTTGCAGCGAGGTTTCATCGTAAAAGTCGAAGCGTGCGTTGGAAGGCCAGGACATTATTAAACGGGGCAGTGAATGAGTTTAAGCCTCATTATGTATCCGGAATGAGAAGCAGATCAAGGGAGAAGGGGAGCGCTCAATTATTTAGCGACAACAATTTGCGCGGCATCCTGCGTTGAGGGATCCTCCGAGCCTCCGCGAAGGCAGGCTTTCATCCTGTGACCGCGGCCGCCCGACAATGGCGATCGAAGAGGAGCCTCGCGCGACAAGACTTTCGTCGGGAAAGTCGGATTGTTGTGCTGGATTGTTCGGGGGTATGAGCACGCACCGCTGCAATTGATAGCGCGCGCGAGGCTATCGATCAATCGCGGCCGATTATTGGCGCGAGCAGCCTGTCGCTGTCGTTCGCTTTGCTGTGCAATCAGAGTCGCCAAGCCGGAAAGAAGCGAGAGCTCGATGAACGACGCGTATAAATATATATTTAACGACGCGACGGCGGCAGAGGCAAGCCTATGTGACAAGCGGGAGGAGCGAGAGTGCGCGGGTGGGGCAAAAGTCGGCTGGAGGGAAACCGGGTCATACCGGGCCAGGAAGCAGTCGGCCACCCATCGGCAACTGGGTCGCTTTTCAACCTGGTTTACCCCTTCCTCCCGTCTTCCCTCGTCCTTCGAGCCGACTCCTTCTGCACAATCGACAAGCCGTCGTTACAGTTCTGCTCTCTCTCTCTCTCTCTCTCTCTCTCTCTCTCTGACTTCGCGCGTACGTGTGCGTCGGTATATGCAACAGGACGACACGAGGTCGGAAAAAACTGTCTCGAGCGACGATGATGATTAATACGACCGCGCGTGGTTGTCTTTACCAGGCCAGGCGTACTTTCGATTGGCTTCAAGTGCGCCCAGTTATTGAGGCTTCTTTTCTTTCTCCCTCTCCCTCTCTGCAATTCAAGCTTTGCCCGTTTCTCTTTTCAATCGCAACTTTTTGTTTACTCAACCTTGCGGTGCCGGTTTATTAAAGTCATCTTTCACGCGGCGGAACTTTATTCTATATATTTTATCGCGTAGGTCAGCGCATTTTTCATTTCTCAGTCAATGCATTTTCCTCCGATAATTTCATTGTAATGAATTTAACCATCCTTTAAAATAAAAAAATTGTTTTGTGTTGCAGAGCAAACAGGGAGGGAGAGAGAGATGTCGTGGGAAATTGTAAATCAGCCTATTCCAAGTCGCAATAATGTACGCTTTTGACTACTCGCGATCATCCGGGAGTGGGCGTGCTCGAGAATCGTGTCTCGCTCGGAGTAACTCGAAAGACCAGGCAGAGTCAATTGCTCCGGAAAGACGCGTCAGAAGCGAGTTCGCGAGCCGGAACGCATCAGCGTTCGCGGGCTTGGGAGAATACAGTTTTTGAGTGGTTGCCGGGAGAATAGGGTGTTTTCCGCGCATTAGCCCGATCAAAGCCGCGACTTCCGCGAGGAGCGTTGCGCGTCGAATGGGCGCAATAAAAGTGAAAGCTTCCAGTGGCGAAGTGGCGTCGAGCAGGACAGGGGTTGTGTGCGCATGTTTTCTTCTTTTTTCGCTTTTCGTACCGGCGACGACGCTAACGCGACGCGGCGTTTTTCCATCTCGTGGCTTAGCATTCCTCTTCGTAACATCCTCTGTTTGTACGCGCGTGTATTTTGCTAGCGCTACTGAACTGACGCGTGGAATAAAACGCCTCGTGCTTTTATTGGTCTGTCAGCGTGGCAGAGCGACGACAAATATTTTCGTTGCTTATACGGGTAATCGTTGAGCATTTTCCTGGCTCCACGCGTCTCTTTGGATATTTTCTCAAGCTGCTTTCGCACCTCTGGTCTCTGATAACGAAGCCACGTCGCATGGTTCGCGCTAGGCTGATCGTCTTGCAACTGAATTTATGGTTGGCGAACGAATGCTTTGTCGTCGCAAGGGAATGAATTGCGCGGTATTCCCATTAACTTGGTGCGATATTTCATAACGAGCAAGCTTCGAACACAAACCGAGCTGAGTCTACATTAGAAACTTGGAAAAAGTGAAGAGTGAGGGTTGAAATGTAATTAATCTCGAGATGAAATGCTAACAATTTAAAATAAAAGTTAGAAAGTCAATAGCTCGTTGCAAAGAGCATCAAAGATCCTTGTCTCGCTCGTTAATGACTTTGCCGCGGCGACGTAGCGGCGCGAACCACTTATCCTCAGACGTAACACTTGGCACGAGCAGAGAGGTGAGCCAGAAGCAGATCCTAATAATCTGGAATAACGTACCGAAAAAAGAAGGCAGAAAGAAGAGCAAACAAAAAATAGCACGTGTACGCGCGAGAATATCCTTCGCCGAGACGAGAAAGCGAAACCTTTCCCCATTCGTATTACTTGTTCTTTTTTTTATTTTTCTTGTCGAGCCGCTGCAAGCTGCGACCCTCTTTGTCCGGGGCGGACAAAAGCCAACTGGTGCCCAGCGTCCTTTGCATCCGCTGCTGCATCATTTCCTTTCGTTTCTCTTCTCATTCGCGCTCGGCCGCGCTGCACACTCGACTTTTTAGGGATGCCAAGCGCGCGCCTCATCGTTAGCGACGGATATCGAAGCGTCGCAGACTGCACAATTTGCCTAACCGCTGGCGGTGCATCGCTGCACCTTTACGATACTGCGTGTAATATCTTGAGTAAGTGTAAATCTCAGCCTGACATTTTTATGCGCGAACGACGTCTGTCGATAAGTCAATATAGAATGACACGCCAAACATTTGACGCTGACTCCGCTGACAC